GCTTTCGTGCATCCGAAGAAGTGGGCTGTAGTCCACGAAAGCTTATGCTCTAATAAATTTGTTAGTCTCTAAGGTGCCACAAGTACTCCTGTTCCTTTTAAGTGTGGGAATGGCTGTGAAATGAATGAAGCAGGACAAGGAGTCCAGTCTTTTGTCTTTCTCTCTGCAGAATGAGACGCTCTAATCAGTGTGAATATCCCCATAAGAGGAGGCAGTGATGGCTCTGACTGGTGGGTGTCCGGTATGCAATGTTAGTAGAGTTAAGACCACTACTAAGTCACAGTGTAGCAAACTGGTGATCAGCCAGGACTTGAGGCACAAGAAGACACAGGGTTATAGGTAGCAATCCTAGAAGGTGAAGTGAGCTGAATCAGGGCAGCTCTGAGGAGAGGCCAGGAAGCTGGGTCCAGGACTGGGCAAGAAGCCACAAACCACACTGGAGCAAAGGGCTTTATTGTGGTGACTTTTGTTCTCGTTCCTGTCCTGGAGGGATAGATTTTATTTTATGTTCTGCTGCATCCTTTTCTTTGGAAAGCCAAACTAGCTTCTCCGGTGTGTAACAGAGTCTCTCTGTCACACACACTCTCCCACCCTCCCCATGGCAGGGCTGGCTTGGCTGCCTCAGCACATCTCCACCTGGAAGTGGGACTGGACTCTTGTGCCTGGCAGAGCATGCCAGGTAACCCCGAAAGAAACACTGGGGTTTCCTGTACATTTGGTTCCCACCCACCCCAATTTCACTTTACCTGCATTAGGACTAGCATCCAAAGGTTAGAAGCTCTATCGCCACCCAGGCAGCCAGGGCCCTCTCCTTCCCTTTCCCTGGGGTTCGCTCACCTTCCCTGAGATGACCCCCTCCATGTACATGCACTCTGTCTTGGGCCCATGGAGACATGCAGGTGGAGCGAAGGGGCCACAGCATCAGCAGCACCTACCAGACCCAGGGCTGCACTACTCACAACTGTGAGGAGGCTGGGCTCATGAGACTGGAGTCCACCAGGGACGCTCTAGAAGGGCTGCAGCTAGCGCTGTCGTAATGTGGGAAGAGATCGTTGTCTTCCTCCAACAAGTGGCTCTCGCCCTGAGCATGGTCTTTAGGCTGCTCCAGAACACCAGCCTGGGAACAAACAGAAAGGAGGAATAATGCCTGCAGGGCTGGGTACCTCAGTGACAGACCAGCGGGAATCCCCCAGTAAGGGGCCAGGCTTGTTGCATGTGCCCTTATTACAGCCAAGCTTCAAGGCAGGGCCTTCATGGTCTCCTGGAAGCTGTTCTAGCGGGTGGGCAGAAAGGGAGCCTCCAACCTGTAGGAGCTGTGCTGAGCTGTGAGTCTCCCCCTGTGCATCTGACACTCACTTTCAGCCTTTCAGACCAGTGAAGCCTGGTGGCCAATATCCCCTCACCACACCTTCCTCGTGTTACCAGAGCTCAGAGAGTGATCACGCCCAGATGGATGTTACCTTCCGCTGGTCAGTCCAGAAACTAGGAGTGGCGTACAGGGGAGGTCCAGGGATAGAAAAGAAGCAGAATGACTGGTTGCTAACAGAGTTTAGCAAGGGAAGGGGCCTGACCAGTAGCAAAAAGAAAATGGCTATGGAGGGAAAACTGTGCCATAGGGTGTTTGTGTGGTCTCTTGACCCAGGTTTGAGCTGGTTCCTGCTCTGGAGGAAAAGGTTGGGGGCTTAGATAACCGCTTCAGTCACCAAGAAAGGCCATGCTGGTACTGAAAGGGAGGCAGCAGACACGTGGTCAACAAGGAAACAGGTACCGGTACCTTGGCAAGGAGGGACAGCAGGCCAAGGGGGCTGTAGCATAACTAGTGATCAAGAAGCTACTAAAAGAGCCCACCAGGAAACAGATCTGATCCTGATTAGTCAGAGAACAGTGAGGTCACTGGCCTGCAGCCAACAACGGAACCCTGAACTTTGCTGACCTGATCGTGCACAGACAGGAAGGCTTCTCAAAATGCATGGGCCCTCTCCTCTACAGAGCCGCTTGCACTCCCAGAGTCAGGGCGGTCACACCTCAGGAAGTTCTGAACACCATAAAAGAATCTAGACTCAAGATGTGTGAATCTGAGCCAAAACTTTCCTGGCTGTTGGAAGAGAGTCATGGGCCACTCCTGACCAAAAGAGCCAATACCAAATTCAGGGAAGGAATCTTTCCTTCCTCTTTCAAACTTGCAATAGTCCAACCAATACTGAAGAATCTCATCCTGGATACATGAGTTCTAGCCAACTACCAGGATCAGGATCCACACCAAACCTTCGGTTCCTGAGCAAGCTCACAGAGAAGCTAACCAAAGGCCAACTACAAGCTCACCTAGGATCACAGGAATCGCCATATTGGATCAAACCCAAGATCCATCTAGCCCACTGTCCATATAGATCAGAGAGAAGTGTTACTTAGGGTGCTAACTAGGAGTGGTGGACTGACTTAGAACAGAGCACCTTGGAAAGTGCCAGAGGGTGAGATTTGAGGCTGTGGAACAGGCTCCCCAGGGAGATGGAGGGCTGCTCCATCAGATGGGACTTTGGAAACTGGACCGAGTCCTAGAGTTACATCGCCAGGACACCCTTGACCTGACTGTACAGGAGAAGCAGGTGGACCCGCAAAGGCATTTTTCATCTCTCGTATCTGACTCTGTGACATGGCAAAGCAGAATTTGGCCACAGATAGCAAGGGCACTGTCCTACCCAGCATTATCATCTTTTATTACGGTAACACCTAGAGGTGTGAAACTGAGATGGTCTGGCCTGAGCCCTGCATGGACACACAGGAGACAAAGAATCGAATACAGAAGACAAAGTAAGGATCATTATCCCCATTTTACAGATGTTGAACTGAGACCCAGAGAGATTCAGTGACTTGTGTGATCTCCGGCAATCTGAAAGGAACCCAGGTCTCTAGAATCCCAGTCCAAAGACTTAATAACAAGAGTAGGTGCTTTCATACATTTACCTTCACACTGCCTGGGAGCGCCTCCTCCAATGCACTCATGTCTGAGGAAGTCTCATCCAGAAGCAGCTTCCTGTTCTTCTCTTCCTCCTCCAGTTCTCCTGCATTCTCCACTGGAAACTGCAGCTCCCTCTGCTCTCTTGAATCCCCTTCCTTCCCTCCTGGGACCTGGGGCTTTCCTGTCTCCTCTCCTAGAATCTGCTGTTCCTCAGCTTCTCCAGCCTCCCAGCCCAGGACATGCAGCTCTCGCGAGACCTGTGGTACCCACTCCTCCCCCACCTCCCTTCCTGGGACGTGCAGTTCCCCAGCCTCTTCTATCAGGAGCTGCAGCTGCTTTTCCTCCTCTCTTGGGACTAGTGGTCCCGCCACTTCTTCCTTGAAGCTTAGGACTTCCCTTTCCTCTTGCTGCCCAGAGCCACAGAAAGCCCAGTGATTCTGTCCAGAGTCTGTGCCACTAATGCAGAGGGGTTCCATGAGGTGGGTCACCTGTAACACAGAGCAATTTATTACCAACTTCAAACTACGAGAGCACGAGTGATTAGGAGGAGGGAGGGATCAGCAGCACGAACCCCATAGGGCTCCTCCATTTCAGCCGCTTTTTCACCTTCAGGGACTTCTAATAAAGCATAGTGTCTAAGTCAAGAGCCTTATTAAAAGAGCATCAGCCCATCGCCTTTTAAATGGTCAGCTCTAAATCAGGATCAGGAGACCCATAGGCAAGACAACCAGCCAGCCACCGTGCCCTCTTTAAATATGGCAAAGACTTGGACTTTCCTTTGAGAATACAATCATTCATCTAACAGGGCTCTAGGGGTCTCTGTTGCTCCACACTAACAGTTATACATGGCAGAGATGCTCAGAGCATCAGTGTTTCCAAGGCATTGTTCTAGAGGGATGGGTCAAGCAGGCTCTTCTCCTGCTACCCACTGCAGCAGCCCTACCTCCAAGAGGAACTGCAGAAGACTGTCTTGTTCACACTGTCCTGCCTCTTCCTGGAGCTCTTCACTGCCATCCTCCCATACCAGAGGTTCCCTGGATTCCAGCCTGCGATCCTCTTCTTCTTGACTGCTTTCCTCTTGTTCCTCCACAGCAGGCTCTTCAGTCATCCTCCAGCTCCCCACCTCCAGCTCCAGGCTGGAGTCCCAGGAGCTGCTGAGAGACAGGCAGCCACTGCTCTTCACAGACTCAATGGGAGACTCTCTATTGGACTCCAACCACAGCCATGCACGACCCATCTGCAAACACACACAAGGGGACAGGTAAAGCCATTAGTTTACAAACGAATCCCAAACTGCACAGACTCCAGCTCATTCTCTTGCGTGCTCAGAAAGCCAAACACTGGAAAAGTCACATTCAGAGCAGAATCTACTCCTGAGCCCAGATGTCTCAGCCTATTTGCTGCTGCAATCAAAGGCCCCCACAGAAACTGCACCACAGAAACTGTAATCTCTGAGTGACTGAACCTAGGTTTTTATACTACACTCCTCTCTGGCATCTCAGCACCCAACCCATGAGGGCACTCATCCTACTGCACTCAGAGAGGACTGGGCAGGAATGCAGCTTGCACCTTTGGCTGCCTTGTACAGAAGGGGTGCACTTTGGAGTCTCTTATTAGATGGAGAAGGTGGGGTCATGTGTGCCAGCCCTATGGGAGTTAGAACAGAGAAAACATAACCACCCGTTTGTACTCCATTGGGGGAGAATCTTATGGGCACTTTAAGATGAAAATATTAGAGCTATTTTGAAAAGGTGAAAAACCATTTCTTCAGATTCTCCTCAACAGCACAGACCCTGCTCACGTGCATGGTGTAAATCCTGTATCATGCCAAAGAAGTCCATGGAGTTGCTCCAGATTCACATTAGGGTAACAAACAGGACTGGCCTATCCTCAAACCCTGAATCCTTGCCATGTAATTTTGACCTGACAGTCCATCAGAAAAACACTCCCTTCTAAGTTCTTCTGGAGGGACCCTATACCAATGCAAAGCAGCCACAGCTCCCACTCGCTGCTCTTGGCCCGGGCAGTGCTCACATTCTGCAGGCCAGGCCCATGCACCCATCATGCCGTGTGGCCTTGGCACCAGGAAAGCTGTTTGTTTACTTTCTGGAGATGGCAGCAGGAGGCGTTTGCTATTGAGACCCTCCTTCAATTTTACTGTTGGAGGAAACAGATGGAATTTGATTCTTGAAATGACAATGAGACATGATGACTCAAATTGGTGCTAAGTAAGTGGAAAGGCACAACACAAACTGTACTTATCTCTTATTAACAGTCTGGACTCTGAATGTACAGGAAGGCTGAGCTAGATCTAAACTTCTGCAGTGTGGCTAGGTTACTGCTCCTGCACGAACTTTCACTTTAGCGTTGTCTGACTCGTGCATTTAAAAATATAGTATTGCACAAATCGGCTCCTGAACTAATTTAATAAAGTTTATGTACATGTCTAATAATGCTCAGGAAAAAGGCCTGTTAAACATGATATGCTTGGAAAAGAGGAGACTAAGGGGGGATATGATAGAGGTATATAAAATCATGAGTGATGTGGAGAAAGTGAATAAGGAAAAGTTATTTACTTGTTCCCATAATATAAGAACTAGGGGCCACCAAATGAAAGTAATGGTTAGCAGGTTTGAAACAAATAAAAGGAAGCTCTTCACACAGCGCATAGTCAACGTGAGGAACTCCTTGCCTGAGGAGGCTGTGAAGGCTAGGACTATAACAGGGTTTAAAACTGGATAAATTCACAGAGGTTAAGTCCATTAATGGCTATTAGCCAGGATGGGTAAGGAATGGTGTCCCTAGCCTCTGTTTGCAGAGGGTGGAGATGGATGGCAGGAGAGAGATCACTTGATCATTACATCTTAGGTTCACTCCCTCTGGGGCACCTGGCATAGGCTACTGTCGGTAGACAGGATATTGGGCTAGATGGACCTTTGGCCATTCTTATGTCCCTGCTGCTTCCTTCATAGAATATCAGGGTCGGAAGGGACCTCAGGAGCTCATCTACTCCAACCCCCTGCTCAAAGCAGGACCAATCCCTGACAGATTTTTGCTCCAACTCCCTAAATGGCCCCCTCAAGGATTGAACACCCAACCCTGGGTTTAGCAAGCCAATGCTCAAACCACTGAGCTATCTGTTGCTTCTCTGGGGGAACCTAACATTCTAATACATTGTTCCTGTCTTGCAATCTGCTTAACATCCAGGTCACACAATGTACAACTCCCATTAGAAGGAGACACAGCCGGTGTCAGATAAGTTCTATTTTTCCTAGGTTTGGTTAAACTAGACAAACTTCAGTGTAGTGTTTCCTGTGCCCTAATGTATTTGCAGCAATACTTTCCTATTTGCTATCATTTGAGACATATTTAACAGGTTTCAGAGTAGCAGCCGTGTTAGTCTGTATCCGCAAAAAGAACAGGAGTCCTTGTGGCGCCCTGGAGACTAACAAATTTATTTGAGCATAAGCTTTCATGGGTGTCCTCTGTCCGGGGATAGGTCCCCATATTAATGGAACATTTGAAAAGACAATGGCAAAGCTAATTGACCAGACACTGACACCTAGCAACCACGGACCCCAAGGGATTTGGATCTCCCCATTTCTCACCAGGGAGGCTGAGCAACACTCCCCCTCTGGAGAACAAAAGACTGGGAAGGTGTGAGGTGGGGGATCAGAATTGGGGGCTGGAAGGAGATAGGGGTCTCCCTGGAGTGTGAGGAAGGAGGTTAGATTGAAAGGGTTCACTACAGCTTGGCTGGGCTCTGGGTTGACCAGAATGGACTATTCTTTACCTTCATTCCTCTGGGCTACCTAAGGACTTCCTGTGCTGTGTTCCAGTTAATGAAAAAACCCTGCTGTTTTGACAATGCTGTGTGAGCCTCGCTGCAAATGCTTGGTGAGGTGTATTAATCCCGGAGGAGTGTACAAGTCTCCAGCAGGGTCTGTCTCAGCTGGACTCACTGAACGGAGCTCACATTGTGAAGCAGTGGGGCTGAAGGCCCAAAGGTCTAATCTAAGGAGGCAGTGAAGCCCCATGGCTTACCCTGGAAGAAGAATGAGATGCCTAAGGGGTCTGGCACACTGAAGGGGGTCCTCCTAAAGACAGTTTCAAAACACCAATCCTCTGGCTCCATGACACCAGATTATTGATAAAAATGTCAAATAGCGTAGGGCCTAGAACCAACGTGTGCAGGATCCCCTATGAAACACAGCTGCTTGATGACAATTCTCCATTTACAATTGTATTTTAAGAGCTGGCAGTTAGCCAAGTTTTTAATCCATGTAATATGTAAAATATTAATTTTATGTTTTTTAATCAAAATATTGTATAGTACCAAGTCAAATGCTATACGGCAGCCTAAGCATATTACATCAACACTATTACCTTTATCAGCCAAACTGGTAATTTCATCATAAAAGATATCCTGTTAGTATGACAGGATCTATTTTTCCATAAACTTGCTTGCCTAAAGACTAGCTAGAGCAGCTAGGTAACATAACATAAGGGGAAAGTGACAGAGTCCTGGGGCACCTTACAGACTAACAGACGTATTGGAGCATAAGTTTTCGTGGGAGAATACCCACTTCGTCAGACCCACGAAAGCTCATACTCCAATACGTCTGTTAGTTTATAAGGTGCCACAGGACTCTTCGTCTGGATCTGTAAGAAGCGACAAACACGGCTACCCCCCTGATACTTAACATAAGGGGAAGGTGCTAAGGAGTCACAGGTGATAAATTCAGTGTGTCACAAACAAATTGAACCGATGTGACAAAGAATGAAGAAATCTTTCAGGTGCTTACATACCCAATGCCAGAAGTCTGGGTAACAAGCAATAAGAACCGGAAACTCTTATAGATAAGAAGAAATGATATAATTGGCATTACTGAAACCTGGTGGGACAATTCATGGCCAGAATGTTAAAATCCCTGGTTATAACCTGCTTAGGAAGTACAGAGAGGGTAAAGGGTGTGTGTGTGAGGGGGTGACATGCTACACTAAAGACATTACATGTTTAGCATTATTGATCATTCAGGTGCAGGATCTTGGATACATATAGACCCAGGTGCTAACAAACAAAGCCCATGAGGGGCTGTTACAGACCATCCAATCAAACCAGAAAACAGGATGAATCACGTCTTAAGCACTGTCAGTGTGTGGAAAGAAATATGGTATTATGGGTACCTTCAAGTTGGAAGATGTATGCTGAAAGTAATAAAACATCATTTGAGTTTCTAAAAATGGTAGATGACAATTTTCTAGCACAAAAAGGTATTGCACCCAAAAAAGTAACGTTTGGACCTCATTATGATTGATAAAGATAATTAATTACGGGACAGGAAGTTGGTGGTTGTCTTGGGACCAATGATCATAAGCAGATTACATTCAGTATTAGCAAATAGAGGACAATCCCAACTATCTATCTATATTTAGTGCTACAAAAGCTCATTTCCCAAGGCTGAGGAAAACTATGAGCAAAATTGATAGGGCAGAAAAAAATACTCAGAACAATATGAATGAAAATCGGAAGTATTTATTAAATGGCAAAAAAGCCACATTTGCACGATCCAGAGAGAAGCAATGTTGGCTAAAAGCCCATCCTGGTTCAGTGGTGAAATGAAGGCAGAAATTACAATACATAAATGGTAAAAGGGGAAATACAGAGCAATCAACATAAACCAGAAGTTATGAGCTGCAGAAAATTGATAAGGGAAGCACAAGACATCAGGAAAAAAAAAATCTATGACTGGAAGAATGAAGAACAAAAAGGAGGTTTTAAAAAAAGTTTATAAGGAACTAAAGGAATCTTAATAATGGTATAGACCCTTTACTAGATGGTGAAATTGTTAATAATGATGCATGCTGACTATGATCTAGTCTATCTTTGAATTACATTACAGGACATTGGCTGACAAATAGTATAATGCAAGTAAGGGGTAGAATACTGACTGGTTTATAATGCTTATTAGAGTGAAATATTCCACAAAGTAAATGGGAGAACTAAACTAGTAAAAATATAAGGCTTTGCTATAGTATAAAGGTAACATTTAGTGGGAGGGCTAGTGCAGCAGGTTTAATTTTCAGTTAGCCAAAGCAGGCCTGAGGGTTTGATCCCGAGATCATATTATTGTGCACTCTCATACTATCACAAACAAGTTCACTGCAGAAATATAGTACACAAGATAATTGCTTAAATAAATTTAAAATAGATGTTTAGGTGTTTTTGCAACTAATAATGGAAATAATTGTATTGATACAAATGATTTATTAAAGACTTTACTGACATGTTATTTGA